TTGTTCTATAGACAACTAGCTTAAAGGGGCTAATAATTTTGATAAAAATAATTTTTGATAGTAATTTTAATTTTGAACCTTAAAATGGTTTTTAAAAATTAAAAACTGCTTTAATTCTAGCCGAAATAAAACAAATAAGACTTTCTCCAGAAGAAAAAATCTTATCAGACATACTGTGAATATTTCCTAACTCTGTTAAACATAATAATTAAATAAAGGGGGGCTAATAATTCTGACTTCAACTGTGTGTGTGTGTGTGTATGTGTGTGTGTGTGTGTGTGTGTGTGTGTATTTTAAATTATTCATTTTATATCATATATTTTTTTTTCACATTTTAATTTTCCACACTTTCCTAATTTTAAACATTTTTTCTATATATTATGATACATAATATATAATAAATATATAATATAATTATATTAAATATATAATATAATAATATAACATTATGTAAAATGAACTATAAAAACATTATTTTAACTGTAAAATATTTACTTGTAAGTAAAATTACATATTTAATTTGATTTCATGTTAATTAACAGTGTCATCTAATTACATTTACATAAATATAATGCAAGACTAATAATTTTAATCAAAATAATAATTTAAATAAAAAATAACTAAATAAGTTATTTTCATGATAATAAACAACATTCTCCCACCATATTCTCATTAATGAAATTTAATGTAAATATTGAAACATTTTAAATTTGTAGTTTTTTTTTCTTGTAATGTGAAAAATAGCACATATAAAATCAAAAACTGTTGAATTTGTAAAAATATAATGTTTTGACTTCATCGTTATTATGATAATAACATAACAATATTATAATTGCTGTTCTAGGAAACAAAATATAAATTACTGCACGTGGTCATATTTTAAATAAATATATATTCACAAATGTCCTTACTGTTACGCCAAAATAATAATATATTATAAAAGTAAAATGTTGAGTTTAATATGTGTGTTTTTACGTGATAATGGCGTGATTATATTCACTTTAATACCATGGTATTTCAGGAAGTAAAAAATAAAATGAAGCGGTACTTCAACTTGTCTTCAGTGCCATCGTAAATCACAATATTACTATAAATCTGTCATGAAAACACATTGCGCTTCTTAAATTATTCTCTAATCAAAGAATACCTAACATTTACCATGGCGAATAAACTTAATAATAACTGCTAAAACCACATGGACATTGTTAATCATTTAAAACACATATTTTGCTACATAACAGCGTGAGTTTACCTAAACAGGCTCCGGTGACCAGCGCGGAGGCCGTGAGCGCGCCCGCGGACGCGCCGTAAATATGACGCGCGTTCTCGACCAGAAACGGCGCGTGCTCCTGTAGACAGCTGGCCACTCCGATGTGATAAATACCCAGAAAACCACAGCCTGCGAACGAAATATTCCACGGGGAGTCCAGTGGGAACATGATGATAATCTTTGGGTAAAGTCAACAAATCCTTCTGGATTTTACAGAATCACTTTCGTTTACACTGTGTCGCGCGCTTGACACATAACGGTTGATCCATACATGACATTCGCGAGAGCTTCTGGTCGCATAAACACCGTCGTTTCGCGTTTAAAAAGTTTCCAAAGTGACAACCAAACACTGACAGGAGCTTCTCGGGTGTGAACCGAACTTGTGTTTTTTTCTCCTCGGCTTGTTAAATAACTTTGCGTACGTACAATGACCGGTGTTTTGACGTGCTCGTCGCCGTCACGCACTGAACAGGTCACAAACACCAGTAGGGAGGGTCATGTTGACTTTGGGCGTGGCCGAGGAGAGATAAGCCAATCAGAAGGCGCGTTTTTCGACCCCATCCACTTTCACTCAGCTGTCATTTGAAGTGTTTCCTCGAATTTGTCACGCGGTTTCATCAGCTGTGTTTTGTTGTGTTGGTTTTGTTGTTGTTGCAATATTTAACGTATTTTTACGCATTTTAAACATATAATATTTTAATTTGTTTTTGCGTGATTGTTCTCCTGAAATCTATTTATTTATTCCTTCAGTAATTTATTCATCAAGTGAACATTAAGCTTTTGTAGCGTGACAGCTTGTACTGTATGTTACTGGAATGGTGCTTTCCACCTTTGTACAGTGTTTTACAACATGTCTTTACCAGGGATCCTCCCAAATGACATGGTTTTAAAAATATGTCCTCTCTGGGGATTGCAGAGAACAGAATACTCTGCACGGTGCAATGTTTTTCTGATTTATTCGGGATTGCTTGTGTGTGCACTCCTGGGACAGTCGAATGTTCTTTTAAAAATGTGTTTTGAGATGTCAGAGAGTTCAAAGCTCACAGGGGGAACTGAAATTAAATTATCAGTCTTACTTTAAATTCTCGTCGTGCCTATCATCAAGGAATAATACAGTTTGTCTTTGTTTTCTTTGGATTTAGTTATGAACAGCTGTTATGAATAAATGCATCTCTCCAGAGGAGTTTGCAAGTAGTCGAATGTCAGTGATATAATCAATCTATTTTTGACCTTTGGGTTTTTAACAAAGAGATTTGTTCATTTTTCTTTAGCTTAGTCCCTTTATTCATCAGGGGTTGCCACAGCGGAATGAACCGCCAACTTATTCAACACGTTTTACTCAGCGGATGCCCTTCCAGCTCCAACCCTGCACTGGGAAACATTTACACTCATTCACTCACTAAGGCCTATTTAGTTTATTCAATTCACCTATAGCTCATGTGTTCAGACTGTGAATGCCAACTGGGACTCAACCAGTGACCTTCTTACTGTGAGGCAACTTTGCTAACCACTGAGCCACCGTGTCACCTTTTTTGAGAAATTGTAAAACTAAAGTAAAAATTAATACAAAATATCATAACATTCTTAACTAACCAAATTTATCATCAAATTCCTGTTAGTATAATAATGGAAAAACAAATTATTTAGCCATTATTTAGCAAAACGTATTGTTCTGACGTCATTTTATGATCAACAAAAACATTTTTCCCTCCAAAAATTAAGTGTAATGCAAAAAACACAATTAAAAATTATTTAAATTCCCTTCAAAAAGTTATTAGTTTAATTTGTAAAGTATAAAAAAACTAAACTAAATTGGCTGTAGTATATGAGTGTGTGTGTGTGTGTGTGTGTGTGTGTGTGTGTGTGTGTGTGTGTGTGTGTGTGTGTGTGTGTGTGTGTGTGTGAATGTGAGAGTGTATGGGTATTTCCCACTATTGGGTTGCGTCTGGAAGGGCATCCACTCCGTAAAACAAATGCTGGAATAGTTGGTGGTTCATTCCACTGTGGGGACCGCTGATAAATAAGAAACTAAGCCGAGGGAAAATGAATGAGTGAATGTATGACAAGTGAACACAAAAATTATGATTATATTATTTTGAAACCCAGTAATAACTGCCCTGCTGGGAAACTGAACAACAAAACACAGTAGATTCACTGTGGGGATGTCTTTGGGTTTTGTTGCTGTGGATATTTTTAGATCTCAGTAATTGGACTATTCTGTTCGCGATGTTCTTAAAAAGAATGTTGTGAAATGACAACAGCAAAACTGCATCCTTTGGCCCACATGTAAACACTAAACAGCAAAATCTCTAGGAAAATATTTTCCTGGGTGCTCTTGTGAGGTCAGTCACTGGACATTTCCTATGAAACTGGAAAAAAACATGAAAATAAACCCTTTGATAACGGACATTATCCACCCTCAACCTGCATGAACGTGCTTTTAATAAAATACATAAATTAAAGGGGACCTATTATGCCACTTTTTTACAAGATGTCAAATAAGTCTCTGATGTCCCTATACAGGAACTAAAGAAGAAATAAAGGTACGCAACCTGTCACTGGGCTGGTATCTTTTTAAAAGGTACACATTTGTACTTAAAGAGTCCATATTGGTACCTTAAAAGTATTCATTAGCACCTAAACATTTTATGAGAACACTGTAGCACTTTTTAGGTACCAATATGTACCCTTGAGGTATTAATATGGACCTTTGAAGGAAAAAAATGTATCCTTTTTAAAAGGTACCACCCCAGTGAAGGCACACATACGTATGTGAAGTTTCAGCTTGAAATATTACACAATTTACGTTTTATAACTCTTTGAAACTGGCCATTTTAGTCTTTAATTAAAATTGTGCCATTTTGGTGATTGTCGCTTTAAATTTAATAAAATAAATAAAATAATGTAGTCGCTGACATTATCTTCAGCAGGTACAATGTAGAAGTCTGCATTCCCGGGTGCCCGGGACCCGACCAGATTACTTGCAGTGCGGAAATAAATTCTGAATAAAGCGCGGGAGCAGTCGATAACTCTGGTGTAATTTGAACGGGAGCGGGTAGTCTAAAGGGCGTCACACACCGGATGCACCGCAACACGGCGCGCACATGACAGTTGGAAGTATCGCACACCAGACGCACACATTCGAATGCTATTTAAAATGAAACCATTGAAATATAAATGATGAATATAATATAAATAAAATGATGAATATAATGAAAATATATACAATTTGTATATTCTTTTAATATATTACTATTATACTTTAAATTAGTCATATATATGTTTACATGTTTAAAATTAGGGCTCAAGTGTATTTCTAGTTGTAACTAAATATATATTTTAAAATACAGATATAGTATGGTAAAAGCACATTTTAGTTCAATTTCAGGGTGTCTCAAAATAGCTCAGTTGAGTACGCTTAGATGGTATTAAGTGTATCTTAACATATACTTAATACTATCTTTTAGTACATTAAGTACAAAACTAGTGTGCGAAAATAGAGCACTTTTAGTACATTACTGAAAAGTGTACTAAGTATACTTAAATAAAGTGAATTTTAGTGCACTTTTTTTTTACCTGATACTGTGTGTACAAAGAAAACAGCATCTGTGCTTCATCAAAACACTTTAATCTTTTTGTGCAATAAACCACAAGTCCAAAAATACCTTATGGGAGGGAACAAAAACTTAGCAAAAACTAAGAACAAAAAATATATAAATAAGATGCAACATTACAGCACATATATGAAATGTAAAGACATTTTGGGAAAATGTACTTTTACTACATTATTAATAGATGTTTAATAAAGTCAATTTAATGTAAACTTAAAATTACCACACTCAAAATCTATTTAAGTGTTAGTGATAATAATGCATTCACATTAAGTGTACATAAGTACAACTTTTGGGAAAATGTACTTCTACTACAATACATTACTAATAGCTTTTTTATATATTAACTTATTTTAAACTTAGGATTAGTATGTAAACAGTGTACTAAAAATCAACTGATGTTTAAAGCATTTAAAGCACACTTTTGAAAAACACACTAATAAAACTCTTTTATATGTTTTTTCTGTAGTGTACTTTATTGTAGTACACTAAAAATTTATTTAACTATTACTGGTATTTAGTATACTTTTGTTAAGTGTACTAAAGTCCTACTGAAGTATAAACATACTTTTAATTAGTATATTTATAGTGTAAAACCATCAAACTTTTATTTAACACAAAAAAAAACAATGTACAAAAAATGAATTTGCGGGTATTTAAGTGTATTTAATTGCATTTAATTATATATTTTTTTCACCTGGGTATGCTTAGAATTATAAAATACATGGCGCTGCGTGACGCTATGTGTCGCGTCGCCGAGTGGCCCTTTTGGTGTGTGACCCCCTTAACAATATCGCTTCCAATCCAGCGAGCACGCACGCGTCCACGTGGATGCTGTTTATGTGTGTGTGTGTGTGTGTTTATATAGATAGCTTGTTAAAGGCTGTCTGGACTCTGTATCAGCTGTGTGGTTTTTGGTTTTGCTCTTCTGTTCGTGGACACTATGCCCTTCTGATGTTCTGATGACACGTACAAAGAGAGAATGTCAATCAAAGTGTTTCTGCTGACTGTTTTTATTTTAATAAAATTTTATCATTAAAGGCTGTTTGTATTGCACACACTGTTGCCACACATCCAGGGACAGACTGGGACCAAAATTCAGCCCTGGCACGTTAGCCACACCAGCCCACATTACCCAACACAATCTCACGGCAATTCGTAACTTTTTCATTTAGTGGCTAATTCGTATGAATTCGTACGATCTAATTCGTACAATTTAGTACGATTTGCTTATCCCCCAATGACGGTTGGGGTTAGGGGTGGGATCAGGTGCCACGCCTCCTTTTTAAAATCGTACCATTTCGTACGACTGAACTCGTACGAATTCATACGAATTAGCCACTAAACTGACAAAACGTAAAATACTTACGTTTTCTCGTGAGATCATGTACTCTTTGTTTGACATTCTTGCCAGATTTTGATTATGTCCGCGTAACCTTTGATTGAGTCGGCCCCTCTCGAAACCATCACCGATTGGGCCAAATGCTTAACATTTACTATTATTATTATTACTATTACTATTATTACCATCATCAACGTCATCATAATATTCACATGTTGCACGAGATAAAAGCTGCCTGCATGTAAAAACAATACATATAAAAAATAATAATAAAATAAAAAATAAAAATAAAAAACTGACCGGCCCACATTTTAAAAAATGGTCTGGCCCTTCTGTCATTTGCCAGAATTGCCAGATGGCCAGTCCGCCCCTGCACACATCTGTGTTCAAACCCCTTTTAAAAGTGAGTTTTGCATAATAGGTCCCCTTTAGAAACGTTGTCTGACACACCCAGGTCATTTCTTCAAAATAAAATTCCTCAGATGCTTAAATGTTCATCTCATCGGCCACTTATTAAGTCTCTCTCCTCATGGAAAACAAATTTGTCATGGATTCTCTCTTATGTCTCAGTGGGATAAAGCAATCGCACACTTCAGCAGGTGCCAGGAGAGCAGAACATGTCCAGACATGAATGAAAACACTGAAACAGGAGAGAAAGACACTCTTAAAATGATGCTAACTGATAAGATAAGATTATAGAGATATGACGAATTAGATTGGTCTCTTCTAGGACTGCACAATGTTTCAATTCACCATTGATATCGCAATGTGTGCATCTGCAATATTGAAATGGATATATAGTGACCATTAACTAGTCATTGCAAAGTGTACCCTTAATAGAATGAAAGTTTTTAATTTGCTTGTGTGTTTAAAGCGCAGAATTCCACAGATTTTTAGTAGAATTCCGCAGATTTCTGCAGATTTTTAGATCATCATTAATTCTGTTTACTTACTTAAGTAAATATGTAAATCTGAATTTATTCAGTTTTTATTCAGTAATTTATTACTTTTTATTTAATTTATTAAGGTTTTAGTTATGATACTCCACTGGATACTCCCAAAATAATTCCGCAGAAATCCGCAGATTTTTACCAAAATTCTCTGCAGAAATAGCAAAAAACGTCCGCAGATTCCGTCTGGCCCTGCCTATGACTTAGTTTTAAGTTGAATTTAAACTATTTGTGTATAAGAAATCACAATGTTTGTAGCTTAACAACATTTTAATTGTATTTAATTTTGACATTTTGATTATTTAATTCCTCAATACGGATTCTCCAAAAACCATAAAGCTCTGCCGCTTTAAATTGTGTCTTTGCTTTATTCGAGTTATCTACGTTTGTAACTTGTATATTATATTTTATGCAGATGTACTGCCCTATGAAATCATATCAATCAGTCTTATGAATGGAATATGAGCTATCCAAGTCAACTAGAGGAATTATTAATTGTCCATTCGTAGGCTCAAGCATTTTCATATTCTTGTTTACAAATCTATACTGGGTTTACTCCCATCATATCTCCAGAATTACATTTGTAAAAAGCCTGTTCTTAACTCTTCGGTCACAGCATATTTATTTACTCTCTGTCCCTAAAGTGCGGACTGAGATGAGAAAAAAGGCTTTTAAGTACGCAGCACCTTTTGCTTGGAATAATCTGCAAACGCAGTTGCAGTTCAAAGACTTGATTTCACTACATGCTTTTAAAAAGACTATAAAAGTTTTAGAAGTTGAAACACAGGTTTGTAGATGTTTTAAATAGTTGTCAGTGTGATTCATGTTAACTTTAAATGGTTTTTTGTTTGTTGTGTGTTGGACTCATGTGACTTGTGTACTGCCTAATCTTGGCCAGGACACTATTGTAAAAGAGATTTTTAATATCAATGTGTCTTTCCTGGTGAAATAAAGGTTATAATAATAATAATAATAATAATAAAATATCACAATACATATAACAGATCCATCTGTCTATATGTCTGTCTGTATGTCTGTCAGTCTGTTTATCTGTCTATCTATCTATCTATCTATCTATCTATCTATCTATCTATCTATCTATCTATCTATCTATCTATCTATCTATCTATCTATCTATCTATCTATCTATCTATCTGTCTGTCTGTCTGTCTGTCTGTCTGTCTGTCTGTCTGTCTGTCTGTCTGTCTGTCTGTCTGTCTGTCTGTCTGTCTGTCTGTCTGTCTGTCTGTCCATCCATCCATTGCATAACTTGTGGCTACCACAGGGATCTGTCTTGGGTCCAAAACCTTTTAGAAAAAAGCCAAGTATTATAGAAAATAATAAAAATAATGCTCGTCAGTCCATCAGTCTGTATTATCCATATTACATTATATGAGTGGCTTTTCCGTCACTGTCTCTTTAAGAGCTCTCCTCCCGCCTTTTGCTCAAAGTTCCGCGGTGTGTCAACACGAAACATGTGCGTGAAACACGGAAGTCAACTTATTAAATCGCATATCTGTAACGTAATAACATAAATATAGCTTTTTGCTTATGTAAGTGTTAGTTTTATAGTATGCGCGCGAAGGTAGATTGTCACGTCCGTCAGGAAATACGCGCCTAAAGTCCCCCAGTGTAAGTGTTTATTGTTCACTTTAAGCTGTTGTTATTGTTGATGGTTGACAGTCAGTAGTTAACTTACAACTACGTAAACTTTCTGTGTAAAGTTTAGTGAAGAGTTTTTACAGCGCTCAATAATGTTACACAGTTGAACGCAGCTGTGATTTAGTTTTAGCCACATGTGAATGAAGAAGTATGGTGAATTTACACTAATTTACTATGGTAACCATGAAGTTAGTTCAAATTAAAATAGCCCTGCTCCGGGCTAACATAACAAAATATGTTATTAAATTCATTGGGTTGTTCACAACTTTATTTCAATAATATAATATAGCAAAATGTAATCTAGCTGTAGTAAGTTAATGGTTTCATTTGTTGTGATTGAAAAGCTGCGTTATAGCACCAGCTATTGATTTCTTAACTCGTGTACGTGTATTTACAGGAATTGGTAAAACTTGAAAATAATGGTTAATTATTTATTGTAATTCACTGACATGATCAACATATTACAGTATTTATTACAGTATTTGTGTTTGGTAATGTTAAAGTATTTACTAACATAAACTAAGGATGAACAACACTTGTACAGGACTTAATAATCATAGTTCAACATTTACTATTACAGTCTAAAGTTGAAACGTTAGTTAATGTACTGTGAGTTAACATGAACAAACAATGCATGACTGTATTTTCAACAACATTAACAAACACTGTAATAAATATATTGTTCATTGTTTACTCATGTTAGTAAATACATTAACTTATTATGTTAAAGTGTTACCCAGGAGTTTGCTAATTTACAGTATTTTACATAATTCTTTCATTCATTTTCTTGTCAGCTTAGTTTCTTTATTATTCTGGGGTTGCCACAGCAGAATGAACCGCCAACTTATCCAGCACATATTTTACGCAGCGGGTGCCCTTCCAGCCACAGCCCATCACTGGGAAACACTCATACACACTCATTCACACACATACACAATGGACAATTTAGCTTACCCAATTCAACTGTACTTAATGTCTTGACTGTGGGGGAAACTGGAAACCCTAACGAACGTAGGGAGAACATGCAAACTCCACACAGAAATGCCAACTGACCCAGCCGAGGCTCAAACCAGCGACCTTTATGCTGTGAGGTGACAGCACTGCGTACTACGCCATCACATCCAGGGCCGGCGCATCCATAGAGGCGACCTAGGCGGCTGCCTAGGTCGGCAGTATAGAGAGGACGGCGTCCGCGTCACCTCCCTTACAACCCCGCGTCCTCAGTTATGTCCGCGACACCTCCCTCACCACCCGCGTCCTCAGATATATTCGCGCAAAGGCGACAGAATAGAGAGGGCGGCGTCAGCGACACCTCCCTCAGCACCCGCGCGTCCTCAGTCATATCCGCGCATAGGGCGGCAGAATAGAGGTCCGCGACACCTCACTTTATTTTCATAACCGGTCACTTTCGTTTTCACATTGGGGTTGAGGGCGGCCTGATCGTCCTCTGCCTAGAGCGGCAGTTCAGCTTGCTCCGGCCCTGACCGCATCACCACTTATTTGACATGTATTTATTGTTAATTTAATATACGTTTATTTTTTATATTTGATGTAATTTACCACTGTAATTTATCTA